GTCCCTTATTTATAAAATTTATTTATATTTTATATTTTTTATATTTATATTATTTAGAACTTTAAAAATGGTTAAAAGATGGTAGGTGAAATTTTCAAGTATGTCAATAATTGAACATCTTACATTGGGATATCTTGTTGAACCTGCCAAAAGGCACTGTTTGTACTGTGTTTTCACACTGATATGCCTTTATGGCCCTGCCCCTTTGGAACCAAAGATTAGTTTCGTTTTTCCCCTGATATCTGAAATGAGCAAAATAAACTTAATGAGATCCTTCTATATTTAAAGAATGGCTCATGTCAACAATCGTGAAGTTGTTAAAGTGCTGGAAATCCAAGGATATGGGCCAGGGAGATCTTTGGGTGACTTTGGGCTAGCAGAGAATCTGCAGTAAATAAATATTAGAGTTCCTTCTGATTTTTTAATAGCTTCCAGTTCTGTGGGTCTGTGTATAGGAGAAAGCTTAATATGGAGGCAGGTATCTGAGTTTAGGAGTCTAACACTGTTATTTTTGAGGAGGTTGTAAAATCTTTAATAAAAGAGTAACAGGTTTACCCTACATTGTTTCCTAGGAAGGTTTTACCAAAAGTTTCCCAAATTAGCAAGTGTGAAATAAGAGTAAAGGTCTACAAATCCTGTGATAGAGGTGCTTCCAACATGCAGAACAAAACATCTCTTTTCAAAAAGGAAACAAGCTTTTCAGAGAATTTTAACCCCTCATAGATGTCAGACAAGGGTGCCTATAAATAAAGACGTATGTGTCCAACAAGTTCTATGCTTGGACAATGTTTGAAATGCAATGCAACAGATTTTGGGGGAGGTTTTCTAATAAATCCAGAAATCTGTTTCTAGGAACCCTCCAGTAGGAAAGTACTTTAATTTTCAGGCATCACCTAAGAAGCTCTTATCAGCAGGATTTTTTTTAAAAAAAATTTGAGTTGTTACCAGAGTTACTGTGGCATTTTAAAAATTAGAATTATGTGAGGCAAACATTTTATTTGCTGGATGTATATGTTGCCTTTGCTCCAGTTCAAATCAGCCTTTGTGCATCTCCCTTCCTTTTTCCCCTGCAGCAACAATTTTGATACGTTGGGCTGCAAGAGAAAGAGAGAGATTGGCCCAAGTCACCCACTGCGCTTCTTCAAAGGAGGGTAAACATAAACCTGGGTATCTCCAATTCTCTCCAGCATTTTAAACACTATCACACTGGCTGTCACTAAAGTTGAAACGTTTTTCACTAACATTTATCTCAAGCATCAAAGGAACAAGGACAGGAGACTAAAGCAAAGCCCAGTCTAAAATTTGATTTTGCCTTTCCAAAACCTATGCTGCGTCTCATTTCTCTTCAAATTCATATTCCTGAGAGTTATTTAAAATTCAAAGAATATCCATTTGTTTACATAAGTGGCCAATTTGTGCAGCACTTCGAACCTCAAACACCAAAGATATCAATGTGAAGGCCTCTCCTAATTAAGGCCCAGTTTTAAAGCAGTGTTGAGTTTCATGTGATCACTTTTTAAGGAGAAACCATGGATTGCAGATGAACTCCTCCTCGCCAGACCTGGCGAAGAGAGAGCAGGGTCTAGAGGACAGAGTGTGTCCAAGAGAGCATTCTTTCCACATTCCTAAGGAAAACAACAGAAATCAATTCAGTAAAATCAGACAAGCCGATGTGCTGGTATCCTTCCTGTTTTCCTCACTAATGGTGATTTCAGTCTGCAGATATGAGCGAGGACAGAAGCAAAGCCCATCCTTATAGGCTGTGTTAGCTCCTGCACCACTCAGAACAAGGCTGTCCAACAATTTTCTACAGATGCAGTCAATGATGGGGGGAATCTCTCCACCCTCAAAGCCACTGCTCTCTAAGCTGACCATAATTCAATTCACTTAAGCATTTCCACCACCTGTACTCTAGAGATCAGTAAACCAGGGAAATCTCTGAGTTCAGTGAGTAGGCTGAGGTTACCAAGGCCTTAGCCAAAATGTTTGGCACCACAGCAAACTGATCTTTAAGTAAGTTTTGGAACTAAGTGGAATCCAGCAGCTGTCATGGTGTTATACCACTGCAGGAGAGAGACCCATGGACCAGTGTTTCTCAACCTCAGCAGCTTTAAGATGTGTGGACTTCAACTCTCAGAATCCCCCCAGTGAGCAGCTGAGAGTTGAAGCCCATACATCTTAAAGTTGCTGAGGTTGAGAAACACTGCCATAGACACACCCCTAACCAGGTAATAATCGATCCTTGACAAAGGACCTTAGAACACTTAAATCAGTACAAAAAATAAAATCTGGAGTGTGCCCTGCTTGGTGATTGAAAGAGAAATCATTTGCAACAGGCACATGTATGTTATGACAACTATGAATCCTAAAAGACTGGGATCAGCATGGAGGTGACAGTTTCTAAGCACCAATCACTTTTGCAGTTATTTAAATTTCTAGCCTTTCAGAATGAAAAGATTTTATTGGCTAGTAAGAGAAGAGGTAAGTAAACTAAACTTAGGTCAAGAAAACACTCTGGATATTATTAGCACCCCCTTTCCTTTTGATCTGAGGACACAGTAGACTTGAATGATAGGAATTCAACAAATTATAGGGTATGGTTGCTGACAGAGGACAGTAAACAAGCTTTTAGATCCCTGTTGATTTCACCTCCAATTCAGATTTGTCTTCTGTTGTTGAACCAGGATCCAGAAAATTACTTGTTGCACTGACCAGAGTTTGTGATTCTTCTTCCCTTTCCTTTGAGGGGTTTGTCTCCCTTTGCAATCTTGCAACTCATTTTACAACTGAAAAACTGCAACTCCTCTCTGGGGAGCACTGATCCCAGGCCAACTGTCCAAGGTCAACACACATTACTGGGAACCAGGATCTCTGTTTACACTTACTGATAATTCTGAATCAATTTCCAAGCACTGTGTGTGATCAATTACAGTGCCAAATTATTAGAAAGGAAAGGAGGAATCCAGCAAACCTCTGCCCAATTAGCCCTTTAAATCCAATTAGCAAAGTGTAGACTAGGCATCTGTTTGGGAAATTAGTCAACTGGTTGGCATAGGAGAATGTTTGGCAGAGCAGCAAGCTGGATTCAGGAGGTGTCAGCCAAAACTTGACAAGTACTTGCATCACCTGGTAGAAAAGTATTTCAACTGCCTTTAAAGCAGCACTCTTTATTAATTTAAGGGCAGTTCTCAATTCCATATTTCCAGAAGCTTTGGGCAAAACTGGGAACCTTTTAAATAAATCACCACCTTTTCCTTTTGACTACGAGATTACATCAAACTACTTCAAGGCAGGTTCAGCATGGCCCTTTACGTTGCCTTTCCCATTCAGAAAGGAATGAGACAAAAATGCATCCCCTTCTTTTTCATTTCTGTATTACTTCCATCGTTTCAGCAAGCCCTGAATTCTGCCCCCCAGAGCTGCCAGCAGCCCTCTCTCAGTCGTCTTTACGCAGTCCTTTCTACCACAAGTGGGTTTAAGGGAGAGGCTCCCAGCTCTTGCTTCGGATTGCAGAGAGGAAAGGCTTGTCATCAACTATGATAAAACAAATGTAGCCCTGGTTATCAAGAGGCTTGCCAGCTGCAGGCATTGCTGGACTTTTACAAGTAGTCCCTGGGTTAAGAATGCCCAGTTTAAGGACAACCCATAGTTAAGAATGGAGCCTATGGTAGCAAAATTCAAGTTAAATACACAGTGATTTGAGTTAAACACACAATGGTTTGAGTTAATTACACAATACTACTTATACAGTAATACTGTTCTGGCTTACATACCAGTTCGACTTAAGGACAGACCTTGGGAACAGAACTCATTCTTAAACGGGACTACCTGTAATGGCTTCCGCAAACCACAAACGCAGCATCCAGGGTTTTAATCCTCATCTGTATGGAGAGGTGGTCACTGTGCAGGACAGTGGAGTTGTCAGTGCTTGTAGCAGGCCTTGTGACTACATCTCCACCACTGTAAACATGTCAGAACAGCCATGTCAGCTGTTACATGACTCACAGATTTGTCATTGCTGGATTCTGAGACCTCTAGAAGAAGTCCAATCCAATTATTTAGAGCATTTTAGAGTATCTTGGTGAATCTCCAGGCCTTTACTTTGTTTGGAATCTGGATTAATTTCTTTAGAGGCTTGGATGAAATTTTGGTATTCAGAGTGCTGGCTAAGATTGATCTTGATTGATTGCTCTTTTGCTTCTTTGATCATTCAGGATAATTTTCTATTATCCTGAAAGAAAAAAATTGACCAAATCCTGTGGTGTCTCAGCCCAGTGGTTGATCTCTCTTGGCTCTGAGAGAGCCCCATTGGAGTTGAAGCACTGGATGCTTGATCCTAATCTTCAGAAAGATTTGGGTACAACTTGTACCTCATATGGTGTTAGTTCACTTGGAAGGCCTTTTACTCTAGCCAGTTGCCTAGCAAGTGTAGGGAGATCCTTCTCTAAGAACAGTTGTAATGATCTCCCTTCCATATTAATGTTAATGGAAGGGAGATTTGATAATGTTCCAGTGCAATAGCATTTATGGCCTTCCAGCAGGGGGAAATTAAGACTGTTACATATTTGCTATTGCATTGCCCTTTTTATCTAATTGCTGGGGAGGTTGAGAAGAATGTTCTCTGCCCATTAATCAATATGTGTCCCACAATTTCTAAAGAGGATGCTAAATTCTGTCCATGGTGTTTGCGGTTTGGGTTGGGGGGGGGGGATTCAGTTCAGTAGTTAGTTGGTTATATGTCACATGCATACATAATAAATCTTGTTCTCAGGCTATATGGTATATTTATTTTAGTATATCTCATAGTTGAGGTATACCTATGATGAAAATTACAGGCCTCTCTCATCTTTTTAAGTGGGAGAACTTGCACAATTGGTGGCTGACTGGCTCCACGCAAGATCTCACCCCGTGGGGTCAAAATGATCACAAGAACGGTGAGCAAAAATCCCAGAGGCTCCACGCAAGATCTCACCCCGTGGGGTCAAAATGATCACAAGAACGGTGAGCAAAAATCCCAGAGGCTCCACGCAAGATCTCACCCCGTGGGGTCAAAATGATCACAAGAACGGTGAGCAAAAATCCCAGAGGCTCCACGCAAGATCTCACCCCGTGGGGTCAAAATGATCACAAGAACGGTGAGCAAAAATCCCAGAGGCTCCACGCAAGATCTCACCCCGTGGGGTCAAAATGATCACAAGAACGGTGAGCAAAAATCCCAGAGGCTCCACGCAAGATCTCACCCCGTGGGGTCAAAATGATCACAAGAACGGTGAGCAAAAATCCCAGAGGCTCCACGCAAGATCTCACCCCGTGGGGTCAAAATGATCACAAGAACGGTGAGCAAAAATCCCAGAGGCTCCACGCAAGATCTCACCCCGTGGGGTCAAAATGATCACAAGAACGGTGAGCAAAAATCCCAGAGGCTCCACGCAAGATCTCACCCCGTGGGGTCAAAATGATCACAAGAACGGTGAGCAAAAATCCCAGAGTATACCTATGATGAAAATTACAGGCCTCTCTCATCTTTTTAAGTGGGAGAACCTGCACAATTGGTGGCTGACTAAATACTTTTTTGCCCCACTGTATTTTTCCCCCTCTTCTTGTTTATTTTTCCTTGTCCAATGCAGTTAATGTGACCGTAAGTAAAGATGAACTTTCCGAGTAGTAGTTTCCTATGTCCTCTCATCAGGTGTTTCTAAGATTTTGCTTGCCGTGGGGCAGGCAGTTCCAGAAATGGAAGTCCAGAGCTTCTTTCAGTCCACTGAATTAGACGTGGGCTGCTCAGCGCTTAAGCACTCAGTGCTTAATCAGTTTCTCCAGCATCTATCTTATCAGCGAATTTAGGTTTCTGGCAAGAGTGCTCTTCAGACAAACAAACTGATGTTCTGATACAATTCTTGAATTGTAACGGTGCCTTTATGTGGGCTTGTCTTTCCAGGAATATGATGATGGATATGGCACTTCATACGATGAACAGAGCTATGATTCCTACGATAACAGCTATAGCACTTCGGCACAAAGGTAAGGAAGTTCATCTCCTGCGCTTAGCTAGAACTGCCATCTTAATAGCAGGGTAAGAAGTTTCAGTTGTAGGTGGCTGGGTTGAAGAATACAGTTCTTCTGTTGAAGATGTCTGAGAGTTAATGGAGTTTTTGGGTAGGGAAAAGCGGTGGTCTCTCTGAAGCATTTGGGGAACACTCTTTGCTTGTCAAATATTCAGTTCAGGAGATCCTGCCTAACCAGAGGCTGTCTTTTCCGTTTTCACCATGTCAACTCTTAAATTGTAGAAATGAAGTATATTTTCAGGTTGGAGTAAAATTGTGTAGGTATCTGGTTGCGTAAATTGATGATTTATATCCAGAGAAAGTCCACTTATGTTGGCCTACAGTGCCTGTAATCTTAGGAGAGGTTCTGTTCTCTGTGCTGTAGCTGTTAGTTATAAGAGCTTTCTTGGAAAAACATCTATATTGGGGGGTGAACTCCCCTCTGCATTGTGCTAGGTCACAACATGGATGTTTTAATTATAACTCCACCTAGCATATATCTTCTAATGATTAACATTTTATTTGTATATTTTTTTTATTCTGCTTTTGCCTTATTTTTATTTCCCTTTTATCTTATTTTCATTCTATTTCACTTTGTTTTATTTTGGGATAATTTTATGGCTATGGTTAAACCACTGCATGGTTTTCTATAATGAGAAGTGGTATAGAAATACTTTTACAAATAATAAAATAGTTTTAAACTATTTCAAAGTGCCCTAGACAATTAGATGTTAAGCTTTATTTATAGCTATCTTCCATCTTGCGTAACTGTTGTGCTAGGAAGTAAATACTACCTTCCAAGCTCTATATGCATTTGCACTGAAGCAGTACAACAGTATTTCAGATGTTGCAAGCTTTTAAATACCATTGAAGGGTGGGGTTTTTTAATGTGTATTTTAGCTATGGATACTTTAAATGATTTTAGGGATTAGCTTACAAACTGGAAGCAAATTTCAATACCTAGCTAGCCATTCTTCTTGTTGTTCTTATGAAGTGAATTCAGTACATTGTAACTCACAGATACTGTAGTGAGAGAGATGGATGAATAGATGGATTTATTTATTTATAGGATTTATTTATTTATTGGAATTACTTTTGATAGCTGACTAGAAAGGTATATAAGATCCACTGGGGTTTGTGCTGGCTTAATCACTCAACTCCGTTGACTAAACTCCATTGACTCTGATGTGGGCAATCGTGTTCAGAGGAAATTAGCAGCACCAATTTGCATAAGTTTAATTGAGACAAGCCAGCACGGGGCCAGTCTAGAAAGCCACAGTAACTAGATTGCAAAAATACTGTTGTAGATCTTCTTCTTGTATAATACTGAACTTGTTTATACCATACTCTAATGATTTGGGATGAGCTGTTTGATATTCAAAGACTATAGTTTGAACCTCAAATTAAGGACATGAAATGACTGGATATTTGTAAGGAAGATGGGTAGGTAGGATGCTTTAAACCAGCATTTCTTGAAAGCCGCCCTCTGTATCTTGCTGATTTGTTATTCTGTAAAGTAGCCAGCTGATTGGTCTTTGCATTGCTTCCACGTAACTTCCTATGTTAGTATTCGTGTTACAAGTGACATTAGGTAGCATTGTGGAACTCCATTATAATTCTTCTTGAACTACTTTCCACTAATCTTAGTATCAAAGCCTCAAGAATTTGTTACTTGACTGGTCTAACGTCAGCATTAAAGCAATTCCATTATAAAGTCATTCTGAACAGAAGCCAATGGGAGACCAGAGTTTTAACAGGCGTAGTCGGCAAACTGTGTTTTAGATGCATTTTGTAAAGACAAATGGCCCTGGAATGTGTAATCTATTTTTTTTCTTCCTTTCTTTTTTTAAGAAAAATTTGCTGTGCACAAAATTAGGCCAGTGGGCTGCGAGCCTTGAGGGTTTTTGCCGTCTTGCACACAAGTGTTTGCAAAGGCAATAATAGGGGCAAATGCAAACTATTGCTGATAAATCTGTTGCTGATGTCGGCTCACTATTTAATGTTCTCTAGCATACATAAGATTTATCACAGAGGAATTATGGAATAATGGTAGAGTATAGAAACAAAGTCCACTAGGGAGATGTAGTACATCATTTGGATTTAGCGCTGCCATCTGCTTAATAGCACTCAGATCACTACCAAGATACTTATGATCAGCCATTCATGGCAGTGACAGATGCTACAGAGAGTTAACATGGCAGAGAATGAAGTTTGTTACTAAAACTCAGAAGATGTGACCAGCTTGCAGAAAAAGAACGGGAAGGAATTAGTTTCCCGTCCAGTGCAATATGAAGGATTGCTTTTCCCCCGATTTCTTACCTGCCTCTTAGAAGATATTAAGCAAACATTATAGAATAGCTTTGGCATTATCGTGAGATGACCACTTGGGCATAAGCTTGCAAACGTTTTAAAGGAAGGAAAAGAAGGAGGGGAGGAAAAATTGAGAAAAATATAGCCTGATCCTCAGGGAAATTTATGTTTTCGCAAAGCAGTGCGCATATTAATTATGGATAGGTTTTCTACCACTTCTTTGAATAAGGTTGCTAGCTACTTCACAGAGTTTGGGAGTCAGCTAGATCCAGCGTGGTTGAGAATCAAAATTAAACAAAAAGAAAGATGTCTAAAACATGGCTTTTAATCTTTATATGCTAGAATACACATTGGTTTTGGAGCGTGTGAGGTCACTAGTGTTAAAATCTCAATGGTTTCTACTCATTATTCTCATCATTTCCCCCTGTGGCTTCTTGGCCCCATTTTCCTTTCTTTTACTTTTGTTTGCAGCCATCTCCTCCTCTTCCTCCCAAAATTGAGTGGATGGTATGAAATTTGTGACAGGAGCGCATTGACAGAAATGCTTGAATTTTGTAGATGTTCTCAAGCCACAGTGGAGGGCTGAATTAAGCTCCTGAGTCCAATATACAAGAAAACTGCAACATGAAAAGTGTATTGCAGAGAAATCCTTTTGCTTGTGAAAGCTGTAGCGCCTCTTTCAGAGCTTGAGAGCACCCAAGCTGTGTTTGCGATGCTCTGCAGTTATCAATCACAGGACAAATGGTGCTGCATTGTTGCAAAGGCACGCAGCAACATTCTTCCTGGATTTTTAGAGTATATTTAATTGGATAATTCAACTCTGAAGGTCCACGTTGCAGCCGGTGTTTTGAAGTGGTAGCATTGAGATTTTAAAACTTGTACTAAAACAGACTTGCTAATGTTGGCCTTCCATCTCTCTGAATTATATTTGAATCAGCGGTATATTGTCAGGCATATCCAAATAAATATGTTTTAAGCACTCTTGTGTATGGAGAGCTACTGGTTGGAATTGTTGTCGGTAAACACAGCCCTTTCTAGCTATTGATGTGTTCTAAATTTACAAGTTAGTAGTAGCCTTCCAATGGGCCAGAAAATGAAATAAAAATCTAACAACTAATTACTTGCAGTAATTTTCCAATGTGGCCTTCACTGCTGTACGAACTACTCAGGGTTTTTGTTGTTGCTGCTGCTGTTTTTGCTATGGAGGAGATTGATTGGTTAAATTTTAGTCAAAGTATATAACTTCTTTCTCAGACCTGTGAGTCAGGAAGACATTGCTGATGGGGAACAGAAGGCAAGGTGGGACATGACAGATTGTGATAGGTCTGGATTCAGATATGTCATGTCCAAGTCCAGATCTCAACCAGTTGTATCTCAAAGAGCACCAGACTTCATCCAGTCTTACAAATTAAGTTTTCGTAACAATATCTCTTGACTTTATACATCCAGATAGGATGAAAAGATGGTGTGGGGAACGAGCTATGCTAAAGGACTGAAAATTAATCTCAGCTCCAGGCTAATCATTATTGAAAACAACTAAAAAAAGCTAACATTTGAAGCATTGCACTATGTAAGGGAAGCAACTTTGTGCTGTAATATATCTGTCTAAAGGATATCCATCATGTTAAGGTCACAAAAATGTATTCATGTCTGCCTGAGAATAGAAGTGAAGACATCTCTTTAAAATCTATTGCTCAGAAATGCATGATTGCTTGACTTTCACAAGGAAAAGTAACTAATGGAGGTAAGAGTGAGTTTTAATGAGGCATCTGCTTTCTCTCTCCTTTGAAAGCACGTCTGTTCCCAATAAAGCCATGTTGTATTAAGAGTAAGATGCACATTTTTACTTTCTCAGCTCCACATGGCAGATGATGCCCTGTGAATAGAGTCAAATCTGGAAGGCTTATTCAGTTTCAGTTACAAATATATTTGAATTTTAAGCAAGCAACTTTGTTTTCCTGATCACAGAAGGCTCAGGGGAAGCTTTCCAAATTTTGGCGTGGCCTAGTTAAGAAAGCAAGGAAAAAGTATCTGAGATCTAATCCCCTGCTGGCACTGCAAGGTTGCTGTGTACAAGCCAGACAAGCTTTGTTCCCAGAAAGTTGTTTGGTTCAGACGTGGAAATTTTGTGCACACACAGTTGAAATGGCTTCTCTGGAGATGAGTTTTAGTTAGGTCTGGCTTGTATTTGCTCTGCATTAAAACCTTTGCTGAGCGTGAACTGAGAAAGAAAATTTTCTATTTAAAAGATAAATAAGATTCTAACCATTGTGGTGATGGAGAAACATCTGGAGATTTCAGGTAGTTCTGAGATTGTTGGTTCTCAGCTGCTCTAGGAAGCACTTTGAGAGCACTGGGTCAGTCTTGCCCAACCTAGAACCTTCTAGATGTGTTGGGGTAGCCACACTCAGAATATCTAGCCAGCCTGAGCTGCAATTCTGGGCCTTTCAAGCAAAGCACCTCCTGAAGAACCCGGCTGGGGAAGGTTGTACCACAGTAAGGCTTTTTAAGTCCTATTCAAGGAAATAGCTTTATCTGTTTTAGAAGAAACACAGACTGAGTCTTCACCCAGAGGGGCATTTTTCAGACTTTCTGAAAAATAGAGGTCTCTCTAAAATTCTGTTACTGAGAAGAATCCAGCATAGCATCCCTAATTGCTTCATTTCT